TGTTCAGAGCGACATTTGTTGCAACACGCACTACACGCCGCACGATAGTCTCAGAGGTATGGCCATTTTCACAAGTCTCTAGCTCAATACCTCCTAGCAGTGATGTGGTAATGGAGCTTACATTGCCACGTTGGTTGTTCGACGCGAGGAACGCCTTTGCATTTTCTCTCTTGGTGAGCTTTTCGACAACAAGCGTTGTCACCAGCACCATGTGCACAGTACATGGCTGCGGAAACTTTAAGCTTCCTCTTGGAAAGTTGTCAATCATTGTGTTACCTTCCACATCTATGTTCCTGCTCTCCAGGACGAGCACGCTGCTGCAAAATGCGCATTACAGCTTCTTCAGAGCTGAATGAGCACAATATCCAGCGATATAAGCAACGCCCTCCATGTCATGCTTTGGGTTGGAAATTTCATCATTTGAGATGTGAACAGAGAAGTTATGTTGCGATACTTCTGTGTCACTTTTACTGCTGATGTCTGGCTGCGGAAGCATCAGCAGCTTTTGCAGACGAATTTTCTTTTCAGACTCCAGAAGCTGCCTCACGGAAACATGATATTGTGCACCAGCAACCTGACGGTAGCGACCGAAGCGATCTTCAAGAGTGTCAGTTTGAAATTTTCCCAGCAAAACATACTTGAACTTCAGTTCTTCTATACTTGAACTTCAGTTCTTCTAAACAGTACCGCGACAGCTCAACAAAGGAGTAGCAAGTGAGTCTCAACGCAGAATGTGTTTCCCTTGTCAAGCAGCCACGGCTCATGTTGACACTGCTCCAAGCATCCAGCCAGTCTACCATGCCACTAAGGAAAACCAGCTATTTATCCACCGTGGAATTCACTGGATTTTGAAGGGCGTCGTTCAGTCGGCGACCTTTCGAAGAAGTCTTCACGTTGACGATTTTCCACCACGTCGATATGATGTTTATGAAGAGAGCTGTTGAACTGGCACATGTGGTTTCAAGGGCATCGCCACGCGTCTCAAGTGCGTTTGATACAAACGGATTAATGACATTTAACACCAACTTTACATTTTGTCTCTCCATAGGTGTTAAATTGATTGCCTTGGAATTTATCTTGTAGCCAAGCTTGAGAAGCGATGTCTGCTCCAGTGCATACAGCTGCCGTACGGCTTCAAATGATGCTGCTTTCATTCTAGGTGGCTCGTCGGGCAATATTCCTGACAGGCTCACTTCAGGAAAGTAAAAGCATATTCCTTCATTTTTTTATTCATCCAGTTGTTCCTGATGCATTTCAGTATGTGCACAGGGTCTACGACATAAAACAGAGGCCGATTGTTGTCGGCTGGATGAGGATTACAATGCTTACTTCCTGTTTCTCTGAGAAAAACGACATCATTTTCCGGTTGAGGGAATTGTTGTCGGTAATTACAGGAATGACCCTGAGGCCCATAGATTCCACTTCTAAAATTACTTTCTTGCAGAACTCATGTAGAATTTCGGCGGTCATTTTAGCAACAGGAAGAATGTGAAGCACATCTTTGTTTGATGACAAGAGCGACTGAAGCATGAAAACATGAGCGGTTATGGCTGCCTCTTGAGAATTGGCTGCAGATCCAACTATGCTGCCCCCTTTATAATCGAAATATGGCTTGATATGAATTTCATCAACCATTAGCGTCACCGTCTTTTCGTGCGGCTGCATGCACTTCACTCTTTCTCGAATGTAGGAGAGGAAGTTCGCTTCGTTTTGCTCCTTCAGTGGATCGCCTCCATACTTGGAACAAACGCGGCGCAGGGTTGAAGGACGGGGTAAAGTCAACGTCGACGCTGATCTGGCAAAGTTATAGGCGTGCGGAGATATGGAGTGCAGGATGCTAGAAAACACTAATGTTTCAGCACTGTAGCGACGAATGGGGGCAGCGAGTGCGAGAGCTATTTGCTCATTTAGCAAACCAAAACGAAGCACTGTGTTCTTCGGTCGTGTCACTGTCTTGGAACAGTTCATTCAATAAGGAGCCGATATGCTGCAACACTGACGCTGTTTTCGACGGACTTGCCACTTCAGGCGTCTCAGTCATGTGGTTTTCCAGCTGCTGGAGCAGTGAGGACAACGTCCGGATGTCGCGCACTGCGTCTGGAACTGCGCCTCCGCAAGGTAATGAAACCAGCTTGATCATACCTGCTGAGACTGCAAGTGAGAGATCAGCAAGCACAGTGACGGAAAACCTCACGTGCGGTGAAGGATTATCTTCGATGCGGAGAAACATCACACAACGATCGTTGGCCTTGATGGTCCAGAAATCATTACTTCATACAGCAGAAAGCTTGCCTCTTAAGTGTTCAAAAGAGGACACAGCATTTCTCTCCTCTCCGCTTTTTTTTGCGCATATAGAGTCCTATCGCTTTGCTCAAGGCCTCGTCTTCCATTCGAGCTCGTTTCGAGACAGGAGATTCTCGACGATTGCGATTCGTGCTCAGGTAGGACGGACAGTTCGGAAACACCGATGGTATAGCATCTGACACTAGGCACACCCTCTCGCTGTTGACTGTCAATGTCCACCCGACGCTGCGTCGAAATGTGACAGCTTTGTGATGAAGTCAGCCTCGAGGAAGTGGAGTTCACAGACCTGCGCCAAGCATAACAGTGACTTCATTGCTTTCATACGAAACGGGCTAATGGGAACTTTGACACGAGCCTGAGTATTTCTGTTCTATTTTACCGCACTGCCCTACCTGAAGCGCGACAAAACTACCATAACCACTCACGATACTCGCTCCGTTCAACAGTAACAGAGCCAGAACTCCAGTAATGCGATAGAGCCGGTAAGACAACAAACATCAGCAGTTTCTCACCTTGGAGTGTATGCTTGGTGTGAAATCCTTTCGTGGAATGGCTTTTATCCAAGACTTCTTCCGAGCTTCATCCTTGGGGAATGCGAAAACACGCACTTTGGGACCACTGTCATAATTGCCGCGGCACCCGGGAACACAACAACGTCCCATGTCGCACTGATCGATGTGTAATCACATACTCACAAATACAACACCAATAAAATAGGACACGTGGGAACGGACGAAGACTCAGAGCAGTGCGATGCAGCACCAAGCCTAACGCAGTCTAACCAGCGAAGCAGGTAGCGATGAAAGGCAAACCTGTCGTGGCTTGTCCCCCGTTCGGGGTAAAAAAGTGCGCGGGGTGACCAACACCACCACCTGAGCGACGCGTCCTCGGCCCCTGGACAGTCGGTGATATGTCCGGGGAGGGGTTGAGGCTGCCACCCAGGATCCGGCGAAGGACGACTCTTGCGACACGTCTCACGAACAAGTAGAAGATGCGTTTAATTTACATATTTGCAAGAGAAGTACATTGCAACGAGAGCGTACAGACGCGCCTTTCCATCATAAGGGCCTAGAGCGCACTCGAGACGAGCGGGCCAGCGAAGTCCAGAGAGAGAGCACAACGCACTCCCGACACGCTCCTTTTATAGCCGTCCATGCACGCGCTAGACGCCGACTGTGTGTCCCAGCGACGCTGATGTGCGTTTCCTGCGGCGCACACAGACGCCTCCCGCGTTCCTGCAGGACGCGGACAGCGTTTGACCGTTACGCCGATGAGCGTCCCTTGCAAGCCACCTCCTTGCTGTGCCGGTCATAGTCATAACATCGGACAACTAGCGTGACGTATGCCGTCTGGAGAGAGGGGTATGAACGGGCCTTGTGAATAGTCTAGGTGGTGTTGGCTATAGGCGACTTGACGTCTCTGCGCATGAAAGAAGGATTGGCCTGCATTGACTGGCCCTTTTTAAGACGTTTGGTTAACACCTTGGTCTGGCAGTGGTACGCAGTTGCTGTTATGCGTGTCGTACCACTCAGCCGCAGGATATCTTGTAGCAACTCTGTCATAAATGCAGTTCCACGATCTGCGATGACAACAGCAGGGACAGCGGGGCGGAGAACGGTGTTCTTGATAAAAAAAGTAAGCCACATCGGAAGCAGTTGCTCACTGGGCGGCTTGGGTTTCGCAGTATCTATTCAAGTAGCCGGTGACAACAATCTAGCGGTTACCATGCAGTAGTCTTCGGGAATGGGCCGAGTAAATCCATCCCGACCTTTTCAAAAGATGCCCAAGTGATCGTATAGGCTGAAGCAGATCAGCTGGTTTCATAGGTGAATTTTTGCGGCGTTGACAAGCTGTGCAAGTTTTGACGTACTGCCCGACGATTTTCGTAAGTTTCCGCCAGTAGCATTCGTTCATGATCCTCGCCACAGTACGTGCGAAGCCAAGATGCCCTGGTGACGGCTCATCGTAGAAAACATGGAAAATGTCTTTGCGGAGAGCAGCAGGAACGACCCGGAGGAAAACAGTTTTCGTAGGATGACGCGCTTGTAGAGGACGTCTTGGCGTCGACAGAAATGTGACAAGTCGGGCGCAAACTGATAGGGGGATTGTGGGAGATGTCATTCAAGGTATTCGATTAGTGGTTCCAGTTCTAAGTCATCGCATTGCTGCTCAGCCACGTTTAATGATGCGAGATTAGCAAGGCAGCTGAAGTGTTCATCCCCATTCTCTGCAACGGTCTCTACGGGTGTGCGAGAAAGACAGTCAGCGTCGGTGTGTTTCGGGCCACACTTGTAAGCTATCGTTGTATAGAATTGCTGTAACCGAAGGCTCCATCTTGCAAGATGGCCCCAAGGATCTTTCAGATTCTCCAGCTAGCTGAGAAAGAGAGTGGTGGTCACTGAGAATTCAGAAGGGGTGTACGCCCAGGGGAAAATATTTTAACTGGAAACAACTGGGACCTGTTCAAGTGGTTCATGGTCATATTCCCAGTGGGGCCCAGTTGCTAGTGGGTTTCAGCTGAAACCCGTTGGCAGCTAGTCCCCACTGGGATTTAGACCATAAGCCACTTCAACTGGTCCCAGTTGAGACCCACCGGCAACTGGTCCACACTGGGCATTTGACCATAAACCACCTGAGCTGGTTCCAATTGCTTCCAGTTGCCAGTGGACCCCTGCGGTGCATATAGACGAGGAAGCTTGGAGTTGAAACTTGACTTCATTTATTATAAACTTTGCAGATTGAGTGTGCAGGAGCTGTGAAGCATCTTTATTGCTTCCTTGGAAAGGTGGTAAACGCTCGTGATTTAGTAAATCTCGTGCGTACGGAACGATCTGAAAGAAATATTTACACTGTTAGTGAAACTGGAATTACCACTTCACACATACAATACTACCAGAAATTAAATTTCATCAACATCGAACTAGTATCGGCTAATTAGAAAATCGTGCAGTGTGCCCCGAAGTAAAGTCGATATTGCTCTCAACCAAAAGACATGCCGAAATTACGGATGGCTCCTGTAAGCAGAAACAGTGGCTCCTAATTCACAACTCTTAATACGTGACTCGATCGATGACTGTACCATTGTGAGATATATTTATGAAGCAATCATGAGCGAGATTCTGTGAATAAATATGCACACTTTTAATGTACACATCAGTAAAAGTTACAGATACACCACAGTTTATTTTACGATCTTGCACTGCAATAATTACCACAATAATTTTGTGTCACGTACAATTATAAATTCCAATTCCCTCGAGAATTCTCATAAATGTCAAAGTACAATCATTGAACACTATATGGAGAGACATCTTGTTCTATTCCGATTTTCGAACTATCGAGCTTATCTGCGCGGAAGAAGAAAACCATTGGACAGTAAAGCCGAAGCTCGCACACAGACAACAGGTTTGATGATATTTATTTACCAGCAAAGATCTGCTCGTTTCTAGTCCTTCAGATAGAGATAGAAGCCTGCCCGAGTATACTTCGTTTTTATTCAGCATGCTGTTGAACACAAGTATTGCGCGATCGACACTTATTTTTTACGACATTGCGAAACAAATGGCAGCGAATCTGCAGTGTCTAAAGAATTGTTTACAAGGCATTATTTGATAATCTACATTCTCAAAACACTGTGTTGCATACTGGTTCGGGACCTGCAGCTATGCTGCTGCAGGTCCCGAACCAGATTTCAATATCAACCCGTGCTCTTCGAGGTGCAAGCAATACCTGCTCAAGTCTCTTCTCTTGCGATTCAAAGACTGCTTCTCGTCATCATCGCGAATTCGACAAACCCCAGTCGTGAAACATCGCATCATAACAGAATAAAGTGCCCGACCAGTTCGAAAAAGCCCGTACCGAGTCTCGACGCGCGGATGTGACGCCATGAAGAAAAAAGTCGACGAATAGCTACGCGACGACATCATTCAGCCATCCAAGAGCCCTTGGGTGTCACCCGTGGTATTAGTGAAGAAGACGGGGCCCCACATTTTTGCGTCGACTACCGCCGCCTGAACAAAATCACAAAGAAGGGCGTGTACTCTCTTCCACGTATAGACAACGCCCTGGACCGACTCCACAATGCGAAGTACTTTTCCTTGATGGACCTCAAAACGGGCTATTGGCAAATTGAGGTAGACAAGAGGGATCGAAAGAAGACGACATTTGTCACACCAGACGGCCTCTTCGAGTTTAAGGTCATGGCATTTGGTCTTTGCTCGGCGCCTGTGACGTTCCAGCGCGTTATGGACACCGTGCTCGTTGGATTGAAATGACAGACTTGCCTTGTGTACTTGGATGACATCGTCGCGTTTTCCTCCAGCTTCTGCGAGCATCTCCGGTGCCTTGAAGCGGTATTTCAAGCTATCAACACCTCTGGACTAACCCTGAAGCCAGAAAAGTGCCGCTTTGGGTACGAGGTGCTGTTGTTCCTGGGACACGTGCTTAACAAGTCTGGAGTCCACCCAGACCCGCGAAAAACAGCCGCCATCACTGATTTCATGCAGCCTACTGACAAGAAGGCTGTATGCCAATTTCTCGCTTTGTGCGCCTATTACAGACGCTTCATCAAATACTTTTCACAGATCGTTGAGCCACTAACGCAACTCGGGAAGACCGACATCAATTTTAAATCGTACACAGCGCAAATTGAAGCATTTCAGAAACTCAAACGACGCCTCCAGACACCCCCAATACTTGCGCATTTCGGTGGATACACCAAAACAGAAGTACACACCCAACGCAAGTAGCGTAGAACACAGCGCCGTCCTTGAGAAAAAGACTAACAGCGTGGAAAGAGTTATCAGTTATGCTGGCCGGTCGCTATCCAAGGCTGAAGCCAACTATTCCACAAAAGAAAAGGAGTGCCTTGACATCATGTGGTCAGTGCCAAAGTTTCGCCCCTACCTCTACGGCAGGCCTTTCAAAGTTGTGAGTGACCACCATACCTTGTGTTGGCTATAGCTAACTTGAAAGACTTTTCGGGCCGCCTCGCACGGTGAAGCCTCAGACTCCAAGAATTCGACGTGACCGTCGTTTACAAGTCTAGAAGAAAACACTGACGCCGACTGCTTGTCTCATGCCCCTGTCGAGCCACCGCTGCACGACGGCCTGGATGAGAACAGCTTCTTAGGGAACAATAACTGCCGACGACTTCGCCGAGCGACAGCGAGCTGTCCCGGAACTTAGAAGCCTTGTGTAATACCTTGAGGGTAACAGCACGACTGTTCCGAATGGTTTCAGGAGAAGACTGGAGTCGTTCTTCTTGCGAAACGGAGTTCTCTTAAAAAAGAACTTCTCGCCCCTTCGAGCCGACCGCTTTCTCGTGGTTCCTTCAGCAGTAAAACACTGTAGTGGAGGGCTCCGGAAATTTTGACCAGCTGCAGGGTGTTCTTTTACGTGCACCCAAATCTGAGCACACGGGTCCACAGCATTTTTGCCTGCATCGAAAATGCAGCCGCCGCAACCGTGATTCGATCCCGCGACCTGCGGGTCAGCAGACGAATACCTTAACCAATAGACGACTGCGGTGGGGTGGATAAACGAATTGAAAAAAAAAAACAATACAACACTGAAGATGCAATTACGACTCCTGCATTCCCTTCGCAAACTGAAGCATCAGTTGCTATTACAATATTTATTTGTAATGTTGCCAGGTAGTCTTTTAAAATGGTATTTAGGTATCTACTGGGTGGTGGTGGTGGTAGAAGCATTTTATTACAGGAAATGTACCAGAGAGTTGCGGAATATTGCATGATTAAGTGGCAAGACCCTATTCCGGGATGCCAATGCAGTTGGCCGCTGCTTGATCGCGCCTCACCAAGGAGCGTTGAGCATCCAATGTCGAGCAGCCGAGCAGGTACTCCTCCCAAGCCTCTCTAGTTGGGATGGGGAAAGGGTGTGAAAAAGGAAGGGGGTTAGCAGGGCACGAAGCGACGACGTGGTAGGTGTCGGCCACGACCTGGCAGGTCGAGCAGGTGCCACTGATTTCCGGCAAAAAATGCCTTGCGACCGGCGGACTGAGATAGGTGTTCGTCTCGAGGTGGCGTAGTATTCGCTCGTCCGTTTTCTCCAGACCACTTGCGGGGCCCGGGTACACGCGGCGCGAAGCCCGGTAATAGGCAAGAATTTCGTGAAAGCACGTCAGATTCGTATTGCCAGATTCCGACTAGGGACACGGAGGGGCAACGGCACGGATGAGAGAAGTGTGGGCAACGGCGTTCGCCGCCTCGTTGCCGGGCAGGCCCGAGTGGCCTGGGGTTCATACTATACGAATGGGGTGAGAGTTAAAGCACCAAGAGGCTGCCCGAAGTAGATGAGCTGCCAGAGGGGCGATGGAACCCTGAAGGTATTGGGAACAGGCTGAGCGCGAGTCCGTCAGGATGATGAGTGAGGTGGGAAGCGAGGTGGCCAAAGCAATGGCAACCTCCTCAGTTTGCGTCACAGTGTTTGCTCTAAAGGAGAGGCCATCAACGTGTTTTCCCTCTGTAATCACGGCGGCCGTGAAGTGACCTGAGGGGGAAGCCCGAGACATCTACGTAGAAAACGCCAGGGCAGTGGGAGTGTCACAGCGGAAGGGCCACGGAACGTGCTAGTCTGCGGCCAGGATGTAGCTCTGGGTTTATGTTACGGAGTAGTGGTTCCACCTATAGTTCTTGGCGCCAAAGTTCTGGTATGGGTGTCGGAGTGTCTTGATCGGATATCGCATTGAGGCCGAGCCTGTGTAGTAGACATCGCCCTGAGGGCGTCTGCGACAGACGATTACTTGGCTAACATGATGAGCTTCCCGCAGCTCTGCAAAGGAGTTATGTACCCCTAGTGCCGCGAATTCACTGTTGGAGGTGGCAATGGGAAGGTCGAGTGCCCGTTTGTTTACTGAACGAAGGAGAATGTCCAGCTGGTGCTCGTGGTGACGACGCAGGTGAAGGTAATGTGAGGCGTACAGGACGCGACTGGTCACACCCGCATGGGCCAACTGCATGGACTGGTTCCCACGGAGGCCGCCACGCTTGGTAGATATGCGCCGTATCATACGGCTCACCTGTTGGCTGGTACGTCGGAGGCTTGCTATTGTGTCCTTCAGATCCAAAGATGAAGTGATGTGGAGCCCAAGAAATCGAAATTTTTTGACAGATGTAACAAGACCAGACGGAAGCAAAAGCTGGGGTGGAGGTAAGTGAGCTACTGAGAGAAGAGCTGATTTAGCTGGAGAGCACTCTAGGCCACACGAACCAGCGTAGGCATTCACCAGAAGGGCAGCCTTTTGTAAACGCACTTCGATCTGTGCTGGGGAGCCAGCGTTGGTCCAAATTGTAATATTGCCGGCATATAACGCGTGGTGTATTCCATCGACCTCGAGCATGAGGGAGGGAAGATTCTTCATGGCTAGGTTAAAGAGTAGGGGTGACAGGACTGCACCTTGGGGTGTACCCCGTGTGCCTAATAGGTACGGGCCATGTTCGATAGAATCGAGGCAGATGAAAGCGGCACAATGAGAAAGAAAGGCTCGAATGTAATTGAAAGTTTCCTGGCCGCAGTTTGTGGTAGAGAGACTAGAAAGAATACTACCGTGTTTGACATTTCAAACGCTCCTCTAAGATCGAGTGCGAGCACAGCTTTATCATTACAGCGCATAGTCGTCGATTCTATGATGTCGTGTTGAAGCGGGAACAGGATGTCCTGCGCCGGCAGAGGTGGGCGAAAGCCAAACATCGTGTCAGCAAAGGTCCCCCTGGCCTCCAAGTAGACAGAAAGGCGTTCGCAGACCATGGTTTCTATGAGCTTTCCGGCGCAGGAGGTTAGGGAGATTGGTCTCAGTGCCTCGATGCTGATCGGTTTGCCCGATTTGGGTATGAATGTGACGAGTGATGTCATCCATTCTGATGGGAGCGGGGAGCCATCCCATATCAAGTTTATCAGGTGGAGTAGCGAGCGGTGTGCCTCGTCAGGAAGGTTAGCCAGAAGCGACACTGTGATGCCATCCCGACCAGGGGCCGTGCCCCGTCGCATTTTCGCAAGTGCAGCCCGTAAATCTGAAAGCGTGTGTGGCGCATCGAGCTCAGCGTTAGGGGTGCCGGAATACGTATACTCCCCCGACAGCACAAACACAACCTCAGGACATGAGGTTGTGTTTGTATGCCTCCGTGAAGACAATATGACGCCCTCAGAATGTCCTTTTATGGCACTAGAAAGGCACTATTCCCGTCCCCTTGTTCATACACATAACAACCTCAGCACATCCTCAAAACAACAATTTCGGACTTTTTCAGTATATTTTCAGAGCAACGATAGCGTGGCCGGTTCGGTACTGTGGGCAGTGATACTACTTAGGGTTTACTTCTTTTCATGACATTTTCATACATAAAAAAAACACCTGCGAGGTCTCGAGTATATATACTGTATCATTGAAATTTATTTATTTAACAGTAAATAATCACAATAGACAGCTTTGTCAGGCATTCGAGTCCGCGTATAGTCTGAAAAACGAAAAAGCAGTATCAAGGCAGTCAACACAGCTCAATCAACTAAGTTTGTAATCTTCTTCGAAAGTCTGACACCACCACGTGTATCGCGCCCAATGCACTCACTAGTGCTAGAGGCTCCGCACGACAGCCTATCAGCACACTCGACACGGGCGTTGACTTGACTTGCCCGAGGTCGAGCCATGTGTCAGATGCAGAAGTCGATCCTTTCACGTTGGGACCAGGCTGCTTCGAAGCCCAATTGATCGCGATTGGTTGTTGTTCCAGGCTGCTTCGAACCACACCTCGCCGCGGTCGGCCGGTGACAATGCATCCATGATAAGTCTGAACGTTGAGCAGCCCAGTGCACCCATCAACGCGACAATTTACCTACCGTCATCACCTACGACTTACACTCTCACACATATCTCACTTTTAACCATGCACACAAACAACAAAGGACACGAACCTTCACTAGTCCACTGCATTTTCCCTGACCAGTCTGCCGCCGCCATTTTGACAGTCAGTTGGCTTGGAATGGCTTGGCTACTTGGCTATCTAGAATGGCACCGCATAGTTATTGGTTGCCAGCTGCTAGTTTGTTACTACGCGCTACAGCGACGTATATTGACTAATTTAGGGCTGTGACATTGAAGAACACACCGTTTCAAATGGACATTTTGCAATACCAGGTTCGATACCTAAGTCAATTGATTACGTGTGTCTCATTAAGAGCGATGGATAATTTGAAAATTTTCCGCAAAAAAAAAAACGAGGCGAAAATATACAATAGCTTTATGACTGTAAGAAACAAACGTGTGGAGAAAGTTTTCACGGAGAAATACATCTACTTGGTGCACAAAAGTCTTCAGGAATTATATCTAAGTGCTCAGTGCAATGTTTCTGTCATCCCCAAAATATCCTTAACAGGACCTTTTCCGGACCAATTGTTGTCCTCCGAAAGCACTCGAAGAGACGTTTCCGGGGCAAACCAGCTTGTGTCGTCCTCAGTAAGTACTAAGGTCAATGAGAACTGTGTGAGGACGATTGTACCATATGAGGACGACCTCAGGACATCGAGTGTTGTCTGAGTCTGGGCCTATGGGGTCAGTTGTACGGCAGATGTATCGGTAGCACAATTCTCGCGCGAGTTGATATGTAGTGCCCTGATAGGCATGCAGAGCATGGCGGAGCTCGCATTGTGTTTCTGCCCGAGTGCTGGAGAGATCCAGAAGGCTACGAAATAGCCACCAGGTGCCCTTAGAGGTAATCTGGTTCGCCACCTTCGTGCAGTTGTCAGTTGAATTCGAATCGTCAAGCTGCGCACAGTATGCCACAGCCTCTGCAGTGAGCGCCTCAATGCGAGTGCGAAGTTTTCGATTGAGTTTGTTGCGTTTCCAGCGCTTTATAAGCCTGCGGTGAGTGCTGTGTTGGGGGCTGGCTGGTCCCGACGAAGCAGAAGAAGAAGAAGACGGCCGACGGAGACGTACGCGGCCGGCTGGGACACCGACCAGCTCGAACACGCGGGTTGGCGCGAAGCGCTGAAAGAAAGCACAACCGCACTCCACGGTTACCCAACGCACACTGTTTATTTTACAGTCGCCTTGAAATCCTCGATGCCAGAGCGGCGCCCCCTGGCATCCTCACATGTCAATCCGAAACCGAAAACCCAGAACACAACAATCATCCCCTCCTCGAAAAAAGTCCACCTATACACTGTTTATATATATACATGCTCGATACCAACATATTTTACAAGGTATGTATATTAGAACACATGAAAATTCAGAGCACGGCACACCGAACTCACACACTACAAGTCCTGAAAATGCACTGACAAACAAAAAAAAAGGTACACAACTGTTCGGAACAAGAGTTCTACATCACAAAGTCTTCGAACCGACGGGGCTTCTGCCGCTTCCGCTTAGGGCGGGCCCTTTTGGGTGTAGAATCGGGTGTCTCTGCACCTTGGTCACTTCTGCTCTGATGTGACACATCAAGAGCAGTAGAAGATTGCGAAGGCTCTGAACGAGCGTTAAAATTTGTGGTCTCATCAGAGCTCGCAGCATGAGCTTCGGAAGAATTTTGAGGACCGAAGTCCGGTTCAACGGTCTCAGCCATATTTGAAGGTTCGAAGTGAACCGTATGACTTGGTGTACTTGAACCAGTGACACCGCCTGGTAACTCCTCCCCCCTTGGAGAAGAAATGCCTGTACATGGAGGCCACATGTAACAGTCTGATGCGTAGTTGAAAGGCGTGGACGGAACGTGATGAGGAAGACTTTTAGGTGTTGAAGGCGAATTCGTATGAAAAATAACAAGGCGTGAAGCATTCCAGATGTTACCATCACTTAAGCGAAAAGAAGTGGGGCTAACCTGGCCCAAGACTTTGTAAGGACCCCGATACTTGGGGCGCTTGCCTGGCACACGAACCTTGACTAGATCGCCAGTGCGAACTTTGGACTGCTTTGCACCTCAACGGGTGTCGACATACTTTTTCATTGCTTGTTGACGAGAAAAAACCCTGGTACGAATTTGATCAGGAGAAGACACTGCTATGTTACGAGACAAAGAGACTATGTCGAGAGCAACTCGCGGTTGCCTACCGTGGAGAAGTTGAACAGGAGACACTCCAGTGGTGCCTTGTGGTGTGAACCTGTACGAAGCTAAACATTCAGTCAAGACTTGCTTGAGGGGACGGTGCTCTAATTGGGTGATCTGGATATGTTCCTTCAGAACGCGATTAAAGTGCTTGATTTGCCCATTTGATTGGGGATAGAAAGCTGATGACCTCAAGTGCTGAATTCCTCGTTGTGAAAGAAAAGCCTCGAAATGTTGGGATTGAAACTGTGGACCATTGTCCGTAACTATGGCATCAGGAAAACCTTCCCGGCTGAAGATTGAAGACAGAAACTTAATGATTACCTCAGAAGTAACCGTATGTGTGAAACAAATTTCTGGCCATCTGGAATGGTAGTCGATGAGAGAAACACTGAACCGGGCATTTTGCGGAACATTATGCAAAGGACCGATGATGTCCATGCCGAGTTTCTGCCAAGGCCGATCAGGCCACTGGACTGGGTGCAACGGAGAAAATGCAGGTTTGGCAGACGTGTCAGCTGCCTGACATATATGGCAGTTGTAAACTGCATGCTCGACCTGCTTGTCTAAGGCTGGCCACCAGTACCTGTCTCGGAGATTCTGTTTGGTGCGGACAATGACTGGATGGGTCTCATGGGCAAGCTGTATTAGCTTGTTACGGAAAGAAGCAGGGGGAATCACGCGTTCATCGCGGAAAAGCAAGTCCTCGACACAAGACAGTTCCTGTCGGACTGCGAAGTAAGGCAAGAATTCAGAAGCAAGAGCACCTTTGGAAGACCATCCTTCACGTAAATATTTGAGAACTTGAGACAAAGTGGAATCTGCAGCTGTAGCTGCCTGAAGCTCAGCTTTAGTAATGCAGGAAGTAACTAATGAAACAACTTCCTCATCCCACTCTTCAGTAACCGGTATCTGAAGAGGAAGGCGCGACAGTGCATCAGCAACCACGTTATTAGAACCCTTACAATATTGAACACTGAAATTATAATACATGAGTTTGGCACACCAGCGGGAAATGCGAATGGGGCGGCGGCCTTCGGATCCTGCAGAAAGAAGAGCAACTAGTGCTTGGTGATCTGTACGTAATGTGAAGTGCCGGCCCCACAAGTAAACATGCCATTTCTCACAGGCAAAAAGCAACGCGAGAGCTTCACGCTCTCCTACTGAATATCTGCGTTCAGCAGAGGTTAATGTACGAGATGCAAAAGCAATAGTGATCAGCTGATCATCTCCGAGTTGTTGAAACACTGCTCCCAGTCCAACATCGGACGCATCCGTCGCGATGACGATGGGAAGCTTCTCATTGAAAATACTAACAGCTGGCTTTGAGGCCAGTATTGACTTAACTTGAATGAAGCTCTGCTCAGCTTCAGCTGACCAGTTGAAAGGCTGTGCTTGACGAAGTAGAGTACGCAGTGGTTCAACAACATCAGCATAGTGACGAACAAACTTGGCATAATAACCAACAAGACCTAAAAAAGATTGCAAGGTTTTAACATCAGTAGGCCGCGGGGCATTGACAATGGCCTGAACTTTAGATTCAACAGGTGTCAAGCCGCGGGAACTGACATTATGTCCTAGAAATTGTAACTCATTCACAGAAAAAATGCACTTGTTATTAAGTTTCATACCACATTCACTGATGCGGTTGAGAACAGTATGCAAGTTAGCATCGTGCTCTTCGCGAGTACGTCCCCACACCCAAATATCATCCAAGTAACAAAGGGCGCCATTACAACCCTTAAGAATAATTGACATCATTTTCTGAAACACTGCAGGGGCAGATGCAAGCCTGAAACAAACACGCGGTGAAACCGAAACAAGCCTTCGTGCGATACAAATGTGGTTAAGTCCCTACTGCACTCAGAAAGTTCAACTTGGTGATAAGCGGACGCGAGGTCCAGCTTGGAGAAACATACCGCTCCGGAGAGCTGATGAAGCAGTTCTTCAATGTGAGGAAGTGGAAACCCGTCTACGACGATCGCCTTGTTCGGTTCTCGTAAATCGACGCATAGTCGAAGGGATCCATCTTTTTTCTTGATGACGACCAGTGGAGAAACCCAGTCGGAAGCAGAGACAGGCTCGATGATTCCGCTGGCTTGAAGGCGAGACAGTTCCGCAGAGACTTGCTCACGGAGAAGAAGAGGAATGCGGCGCAGCTTGGCACGCACAGGGCACACACCTGGTCGACGCATCACTTTATGCACAAAACCACGCACACAACCCAGTTCACGGGTGAACAGGTGGTGGAATTCAGAAGGCGCGTTGGCCGGAAGATCATCTTGGACGTCGACTTGAGCACACGTCATAGACGCACCGACGATGTTGACGGACAAAGGCCTGATGGCATCACGTCCCAAAAGTGAGCTGCCATTGGCTGTTACATAAAAAGTAATGGAAGCAGTGCGACTGCGATATGAGACCTGAGCTGTAAATTGACCTAAATTATCAATCGTTCCCTTGGAATATGTTTGTAGAACGACGTGTGAAGGCAAAATCCGAATGTTGGAAAAATGACTGTGAACGTCAGCGGCACTGATTAAAGAGACTGAGGCACCAGTGTCCACGAGAAATGACAAGGGCACATGGCCCACTGAAACTACCATGCTGGGCTCGGACGTAGTGTGGAGGCCATCCACATTTAAAACAGTGACCGTATTGGTTTGTGCAGTGCTCGAAGGAGCGGACGAAGAAACTGGTTCCGGAAGATTTGCTGGACGGGAATTGCATACGGACTGAAAATGTCCGATTTTTCCGCACGCAAGACAAGTGCGGTTTCTCGCGGGACACTGCGCAAAATTGGCTAAATGCCGAGCCGATCCGCAACGAAAGCAACGTGCGGTTGCGCTTGGAGAAGAAATTTGCGAACGCGAGTTAGGAGCTCGGTGCTGTTCCTGAAAACTAGAATTTGGCGGAATGGGATCGCCATATT